AAGCCCAATTGGGCTTATTATCCGGGGAGGTCTTATTTTCGGGGAAACAAGGTATTAATCTAAACATGTGTGTTAATAGTAGAATTATATGGATTGAAGAATTGGAAAGAACATGAATAGAAATACTTTAAATGTATAAATGATTGTGATTGATAATAAACCTGTATAAGGAGATATTGAAAAATGGAAGAATGAAGGATGGAATGTTGATTTTATTATGGAAATATGAACAACAAAATAGGTGGAAAACACGTCTTTGAATATTATAGCGACATGAAAGGGAGAAAAAGGTTAAAATAGGGATAGAAAATAGTGGGGGGAAATAATAATTATATATTAATATGTTAAGATATACAAAAGGACAGAAAGATGGTTCAGAAAGGAAGGGTGATAATAAAAGACATGTATAAATAATATGAAACAATGGAAATAAAATGTAATATTTAGGAATAATAAGATTATAAGACTTTCTTTCTTTCTATAAAAAAGCTGGTAAGAATAAAATCCTTATTATCCAATGCAAGTTGGGTGACTCACTACCATAAAATGAATTATCACTGCTTATGGAAAGTGAAAATGATTTATAGTTCAATAGTAAACAATGAAAAAACAAAGAAAAAATTGTAAATAGTTGTCAAATAAGTCAGCAATCACTAGTCTATTAAAGTACAGATAAAAATAGGAGAATTTTAAAAGTGCAGTTAAAACAAAGGTATGCATAAAACAAATAAACAACTGAAGGGCAAATATTGATTAAAAACACAACTATCTAATTGCTTCTTACCGATTGCAGTCTTCAAGATCTCTCTACTTCAAAGGTTCATGATCATCCAAAAATAATCTTCTGCTCACATTTATGGTGGAGCAGTGGTTAGAATGCAATACTGCAGGCTACTTCTGTGCCTACAATTAGGCAGTTCAAATCTCACCATGCTCAAGGTTGCCTCAGCCTTTCATCCCAGATTGTGGGGCCAATATGCTGACTCTGAAAACCGCTTAGAGAGGGCTGTAAAAACACTTTGAAATGGTATATGTCTAAGTACTATTGCTATTCAGTGACAGGACAGAAAAAATTGCCTGCCACTCATCACATCATCTTGAGGGAAGTCCCTCAGCAGTCCATTCTCCTGATTGTTTTTCCATTGTAGCTATAATTCTATAGTCTAATTCTTTTGAGAATGGTGCCCTTCTTTTCTTCGTTCTGTTCTTCCTTTTGCCAATTATATATTTTAGACTGATGACAGAGACTGTCTTATCGGATTCTGTAAGCGTTTCTTTTAGAGAAAAGGGTGAAATAAAATGCAATGAAAACAAAGTAAGTAAGTTAATATGTAGCAGGTTCAATGCACTATGTCAATGTTTTTCTCTGTATAGTCATTAATATTCATGACTAATGCAGATGACTTTTCTCAACATTTACTCTTTTATTTCCTTTCCTCTAAAGAAGTACGGCATCTGTCACTATTTTTGGGTGACAGCTTCAATAGTCCTTTATCATTTTGTAAAAGGTAAATGATGTCTCCAAATCTGGACTCCACTAAAGTATATAGTCCACTAATGAAGAAGTGTCCTATTAATCTTCTAAAATTTAGATTGTATGAGTATATTGTATTTCCTTAGTAATTGTTCTCTTTTTTTAAAATACACTTCAGGACAATAAGAAAATGACTAATGGATATTTCCATAATGAAAATCTTAAAGCTCTTTCGGGTAACTTATTTGCTGCTGGTACAGAAACAACTGGAAGCACTCTGTGCTGGGCCATACTCCTGATGATGAAATACCCAGAAATCCAGAGTAAGCATGTTTTATTTTATTGGCTTCCAATCAAAAATGGAATAGTAATTAAAAGAAGTCTTTGGGTAGATGAGAGTGTTATTTGCACAAGGAAAAAGAGGAAGTAAGAATAAATTGTCCTTTCTGATGATATTTTAAGGAACTCATCAATGTGAGAATATGAAGAAAGAGGTATGATATTTCTCCATTGAGGATTCACACATCTATGTTTCATTTTATGCTCTCATCACCCACTCTACTATTTCTTAGAAGAATAGCAGATCACACCGTAATATGAGCCAAGGCTGTTCTGTTAAGCATGATGTATTTCAATCATGATATGAACTTGACTCATCTCTATGTGCTCCACCCAACCTTTCATTCTTTCTAGAGTTTGAAAATGTAAACTGATAGTCAATTAATAATCCATCTCTCCTCTGGAAACAAATATTAATAAACAAGGAAAAATATGGCTAAATGCTAACATAAAAGATCGTAGCTTTATGTTATTAGATATGCACTATAGATGTATTTAGCTGTTTAATCATTCTGAATCTTCTTAAGTTAAAACTTTCAAATATTATCCTTACTATTTTTAAAAATTGTCGCTAACATTTTCGGTATCTATTTTCTTTAGAGAATAATATTGTGTTTCTCTAATGTACAGATAGTCATCAACTTACAACCACAATTGGAACTGGAACTTCCATTGCTAAACGAGACAATTATTAACTGAGTCATACCCAATTTTTTAAAAAAATTGCAACAGTTAAGTGAATCACCACAGTTGTTAGATGAATCAATTGTTCATTAAGCAAATGCGGCTTCCCACATTGACCCTGCTTGTCAGAAGCCAGCTGACAAATTCACAAATTACCATCACTTGACCACAGAGAGCTGCAACTATCCAAAATACATGCTGGTTGTCAAGTGCTTTGATTTTGATCTCATAACCGCAGGGATGCTATAATGTTTGCAAGGGTGAAGATTGGTTATGCATAATTTTTTCAGTGCCATTGTAACGTCAAGCAGTTGCTAAATAAATGGTTGTAAGTCAAAGACTATCTGTGCAACCAAGTCCTTCATGTTCTATTCTTCACAATTTGAAATTTTTACATAAACTCCAATTTAAAACAAAATTCAAGCAACGAGTCATCTTGATACATAATCTATTCTCCCAGGGAAGGTCCAAGAAGAAATTGCAAAGGAGATTGGGGTTCGTCAGCCAAGGACAGAAGACCGATTCAAAATGCCTTACACCAACGCTGTAATTCATGAGGTCCAAAGGTTTGCTGATATTGTTCCAACTAACTTGCCACATGCAACCACCATGGACATAACTTTCAAAGGCTTCTTCATTCCCAAGGTGATCACTCTGAAATTACTGCATTGTACAGGTTCCAATCTTTTTAAATACCGTATAAACCATTTTTACCTACTAAAGTACACTTTTAGTTCAAACAGAATAGAGCTGAAAAGATCCTTGGAGGTCTTCTGGTCCAACCCTCTGCTCAAGCAAGAAACCCTATATCATTTCAGACAAGTGACTGTCTAGTCTCTTTTTAAAAACCTTCAGTGATGAAGCACCCACAGGTTCTGAAGGCAAACTATTCCACTGGTTAATTGTTCTCTCTGTCAGGAAGTTTCTCAATTCCAAGTTGCTTCTCTCCTTGATTAGATTCCATCCATTGTTTTTTGTCCTGCCCTCTGGTGCTTTAGAAAATAAGTTGACCCCCTCCTCTTTGTGGCAACCTCTCAAATACTGTAATACTGCTATCATATCCCCCACTCTTTTCTCTAGGCTAGCCAAACCCAAACTGCACCTGTTCCTCATGTTTTGTCTGCAGGCCCTTAATCATTTTATTTGCTTTTCTTTGCACTTTTTCCAAATTCTCAACATCTTTTTTGCAATGTGGTGACCAAAACTGGTTGCAGTATTCCAGATGTGGCCTTACTAAGGCTTTATAAAGTGGTACTAATACTTTACGTGATTTTGATTCTATGCCTATGTTTATACAACCAAGGGTTATATTAGCTTTTTTGGCTGTTGCTGCACACTGCTGGCTCATACTTAAGTGATTGACCACTAGTCTCCAAGATCCTTCTCACAATTATTGTTTTTGAGCCAGGTTTCACCTAATCTGTACTTGTACCTTTGGTTTTTCCTGCCTAGGTGTAAAACTTCGCTTTTTTCCACATTAAATTCCTTTTTGTTGAATAGGGCCAAGTCTGTCAAGATCTTTTTGAATCCCGATCTTTTGGGGTGTTGGCTATTCCTGTCAGCCTACAGTAGTGCCATCTACAAATTTGATGACTTCTAGTCCCTCATCTAAGTCATTTTTGAAGATATTGATGATATTGAACCTAAGATGGAATCTTGTGGTACCCCACTGCTTACTTTCCTACATGTAGATATATTTATTGAATTATTGAGCACTGATACTCTATTTCCCTATTGTTCCTTACAATGTTTTTAAACCTTTGTCTTTCTCCTTGCCTAGTATTTATCCAAAATTCATATATTTCCAGTGTCATTTTGAAAATGTAATTACTTCTATAATAATGTATTAAATAGTCACACTTTTTAATATAGGATTTCCCTTTTGATGTTTAGGGCATGCAAATTGTTCCTTTGCTATCATCAGTGCTCCATGATGAATCTCAGTGGGAGAAACCCTATAAATTTTATCCTGAGCATTTTCTTGACTCTGAAGGAAAATTTATGAAGAGGGATGCATTCATGCCATTTTCTGCAGGTAATATTCTCTATATATGTGTCCATGTGTCCATGCATAATGGGCAATGCTTTATATTTTGGAAAGAAAAGTTCACAAGATACAGTGGAGCATTTGAGAAAGTAATAATAAAACTATGATGTAATAACTTCCATTTAACAGAATTTAGAATAAGATTGCCTGATGCGCCCACAAACTTACACTCCCTATGAGACTACACTATTATGACAACCATTAACTAAAAACAGTTAAGCTTCTGAACATAAAACAATCGTAACAGTTATTTGAGGGCCTGTCTCGTCCCATTGGAATTGGCCCGCCCCAACTATGCCAGCAGAGGAGCATGCTGTGGGTCCCATTGGCCAGGGTATCCACCTGGCTGGGTCCAGAAGGGCCATTGCACCTGCCCCTTGAAGCATCTTTCTCCCCGGGGTGAGCTCAGATCCAATCCTCCTGACCTTCTGCAAGAGCTTAAAGAGCTGGCTCTGTCACTTGGCTTCAGGTTCCAATGTGGGGATTTCATGTTGGAGATGGTTAATACCGTATTTTTCAGACTATAAGACACACCTTTTTCCCTCCAAAAAGAGGCTGAAAATCTGGATGCATCTTATACACTGAATATGGCATTTTTTGCCGCCTGAAAACCCACCCCTTCACCAAAATGGCCACGCATAGCTTGTAGGAGGCTTTCAGAGAGCTCCTTGGGGCTGGGGAGGGCAGGAATGAGCCAAAAACGGCCCATTTTTTGGTAATTCCCCCCCCCAGCCCCAAGGAGCACTTCATAAGCTGCCTAACACCCCCCCTTTTTTTTTTTACAAAAAATTGAGCCGTTTTCATGAAAAATGAGCCATTTTTTGCTCATTTTTGCCCCTCCAGGAACACTCTACAAGCATTCTAAGGGCTATTCATGCCCATTTTTTGAAAAAAAAAAAAACGGGCCCATTTTCATGAAAAATGGGCCATTTTTTGGAGGTTTGCAGCATGCAAAAACATCATCATCATCATTATTATCACAATTGTATCACAGCGGCCAGTTGTTTCGCTGGATTTGGCATTGATTACTAGTCGGGCCCCACTCAGGGGTCTAGGACGTTGTAACGTATTTTCATAATATGCATGGGGATCCAAGCAGTACAGCTTTTTGCATTTGACAGATGGTGATTTTGTCAATTTTTAACTGTTTTAAATGAAATTCCAGTGCTTTTGGAATAGCACCCAGTGTGCAAATTACCACTGCTGGTTTGTGCCATAATCGTTGAATTTCTATTTTTAAATCCTGGTATTTCGTGATTTTTTCATGTTCCTTCTCATATTATTATTATTATTATT